AAAGTAATGCCGGATAGCACGGTACTTACAACAAGCTGTGTGAAAGCCGAAATTATGAAACATCTGTGAAAATTTCTGCAGAAAACGAGGTAAGATTTATAAATTTTTCTTATGCATGATGCTTTCGAGTATTAATAATGTTTTCATTAAGAATATTAAGTGTATATCAGTTAATTGAAAACTATTCCCGAGACCTTGAATAACGTTTTCTAAACTTTTAAATGTAAGTGTAATAATGGTATACTCATAGTTCATGAATAGTTGTTCTAAATTACTGGAATAGCCGAATTCGTCAAAGATCTGTTTATCTGCAAGAACATAAATACAAAACCAATTTTCTCTTATTAATATTAATTAGTGTCATAGAATATTTTATGCAGCTAAAATTGTATTAATTTCCTCGGGATATGTTTTAATATTTTATCTGTTGTAATTCGTTTTTAATGAATACACATAACTATCGGAATGTTACATTTTTAATACTTTCCATTCTAGATATTAAGGGTACCAACAGCTGTAATATTAGAAGCATCCTTTGTTGTGAAATTAACTGAAGTAATAACTGGTGCGAGGCGCTGCTGTTCGTGACGTCAGCCTGCGTGTTGAATGTTTCGAATGGTTTTTGCTTGTAGAAAGAACGAAAGCTGATCTCGGAAGCGTAAGACTGTTTTGATGAAAATAAAGAATGGCTTATTAAGAATTTTTTGTCTTTTTTCATAATGCACCCAGTCTCGTGTAGGGGCAGGACGCAAATGAATGAACTGTTTTGAATATATTTTCTGTGTTCTCCGTAACATAGTGGTACCCTCGGCGGGACCGGGTGCTATGAATTAGTATTTTCCGATTGAACTTTCGATTTTGAATACACTTTTAAGATGGATTTGATCGCTTTAAAGCCGCAAAGAAAATGACTTAGAATTGCGTTCTCTCAAACCTCAAGGAAAACTGGAAATGAATTAACTAAAGAAGTAAGATATTTAAAAATACTTTCGATTTTGAAGTGTAAACTTTGTGATAAATTCGAGAGACTTGATGTATGTCAGAGCGCTATTTCGCAGTAGATTTTGCAGACTGAAGATGGAGAAAAATTATTTAGTGATGATTTTGAAGAAGCGGGGGATTACCGAGATAAGTTTCTAGAACAGTGTGCTCAAATAGATGCGGAAATAAAGCCTCCACTCTTCCACGTAACTCAGAATCGAGGAAATTTAAATTGCCTAAAATTGAGCTTAAAAAGTTCAGTGGTGACGCTAAAGATTACCTGACTTTTTGGAGTCAGTTCCAGAAAATCCACGACGACAAAAGTATCGCTAATGAAGATAAAATGTAGTATCTGTTGCAGGCCATGGAACCAAAATCGAAGGCAGAACGCCTATTTCTTAGCTTTCCGGCAACGGCGCTAATTATCCCAAAGCCATCGAACAACTAAGAGAGCGCTTTGGACGCGAAGAGTTACTTGTGCAAATCTATGAGAGACATGTTAAGCCTAGTGATGAAGAACGCTGTAACCGGAAGAGCAAAAACTGATCTACCCTCCCTTTATGATGAACTAGAAGGAAAATTGCGAGCGTTGGAAAGTCTGGGGAGAACCTAAGAAAAATATGATAATTTTTGACCCCCTTAGTGGAAAGTTGCTTACCAGAAGAAGTACTGATGGCGTGGGAAAGAAGCCGGAAATCACGACTCCATTGAAACTAAAGGGACTCGATCCTTGCAACATTTAATGAATTTTTTAAAACAGGAAGTCAAGGGCGAAGAGATGGTTCTATTCGCAAGAACTGGTTTCGACTCCCAACAGAATTATCGGAAGAAAGATTTTCACCACGAACAGGTAAAGCAAAATGAACCCGTAACAGCAGTCAGCTCTAGTAAGTCTTGAGAATTCAGGTAAGAGTATTCCAAACTGTAATTTTTGTGAAAAGAAACATTCTAGTGAAAAATGTTACTCCGCAAAAAAAAAAAAAAAAAAAAAAAAAAAAAAAAAAAAAGACTTAATCTGAAAAACAACAATTGTTATTGCACATTAACAATTGTTATTGAAAAAAGGTGCTTGTTTCTCTTGTCTGAAAAGAGTGATTCATATTAGTAAATTTTGTCCTTTGAAAGGTAAGTTAAGTTGTTCTATTTTCAAAAGTTGTAATCAAACTGATGTAATGTGTAATCAAACGCTAAAAAATAGCGATCAGATACGTGTTTCAAAAGAGAGTTCTCTTTCTAACTGTGGCAGAAGCGAAACTGTATTTTTGAATGGTGTCAAGGTCGCGAGAAAATTATTCGCTGCATAATTGATAGCGGAAGCCAAAGTAGCTACGTTAGTGAAAGTATGATGAGACAGCTTAAAGCATCTCCACTTAGGAAGGACACAGTTATACATGCACTGTTTGGCGAAACCTAAACATGAAGTGTTTTCGGTCGAGGGTAGCAATTTAAAAGGAACGTTCGCATGTAGTTTTGAAGCACTACTTTTTGAAAAAAGGATTTGCGGTTTTATTCCTAAGGTTAAGGATAAAGAGATTTTGAATGAATTAAAAGAAAATGAAATCGAATTTTCTGATCCATTGCGAAAGGAAACTGAAATTAACCTTTTAATCGGAGTAGATGTTATAGGAAAATTATTGAAGGGAAATTCTATTGAATTACAGTCCGGGGTAACGGCTGTCGAAACGAAATTTGGGTGGATGGTATTTGGAAAACGAAATTCGGGTGAAAAGGATAATATTTTGAAAACATTTTCAGTGCATGTCAGGAGAGTTCCTTTGAATGAGTTATGGGAACTCGAAAAAAATAGGAATATGCGCTCCAATTGAAACTGTCAAAATGAAAGAAAGTTTTAATTTATCTGAATTTGAAAACAAAATGAAAATTCTTCCAGATGGAAGATATGAAGTAGAACTTCCGTGGACATGTGATACGACGCATTTAACCGATAATAAAGAATTATCCTGGAAAAGGTATCAAAAAATGATCTCTAAACTCAGGTGTCGTGAAATTTTCGATGATTATCAAAATGTCTTCAAGGAATGGGAAAGGTTGACTATTATTGAACGCGTACCAGAAAACGAACTGAATAATGAATATCATTATTTGCCGCATAGGCCTGTAATCAAATTAGGAAGTGAAACTATGAAAATTCGTCCTGTTTTTGACGCCTCTGTATCCGTGAAAGGGAAACTTTCTTCGAACGAATGTTTGTGTAAAGGAATGAATCTTATTGAATGAATACCCCATATTATAGATCGTTTTAGGATGTATCCTATAGGTATTAGAGCTGATATTGAAAAGACTTTCTTAATGTTATCCGTCGCATCTAAGGATAGAGATTTTCTTATATTTTTTTTCCCATGCAATGAAGGACAATTAATTTATAGGCATTGCAAAGTTGTGTTTGGAGTTTCTTCGAGCCCCTACTTGTTGAACGCGTCGATAATGCATCTATTAGAAAACTGTCCACGTCAGTATAGTTAAGTTGCTCAAAAATTGAAATTGTCATTTTATGTGGATAATTGTTTATCTAGTGGTTTTAGTATTGATGAACAGTTTACTTTTATTCAAAATTCCAAATTAATCATGTCAAATGGATGTTTTAACTTGCGCGGTTATGAAAGCAATGTGGCTGGTACAAATGTTGACTATCATTCAGGGGATACTTCCATTTTGTGGGTAATTTGGAATTTGCATAATGATACGCTGAGGTGCTGCACAGATACAGATACATTGACCTGTGATACGAAAATCACAAAGAGGACAATTTTGGCAATTGTGCAGACAATTTTTGATCCTATTGGTTTATTAACGCCAACTACATTGCTTCCAAAACTGCTGTTGCAAAAATTGTGGAAAGTAAAAATTGCATGGAATGATGAATTGTCTCCAAATGATGTAAATACATTTTTGAACTGGTTTAAAGAACTTAATGTTTTGAAAGATGTTACTTTGCCTCGATACTTGTTTATTTATGGCACGTCTGAACTACATGTATTTGTGGATGCTTGCAAGGGGGCGTATGCAGCGTACGTCTTTGTCCGATCAGTATTTAATTCTGAGGTAAAAATAAATCTCGTACGGGCGAAGTCTAGAGTATCGCCTTTGAAACTTTTGAGCATTCCTCGCTTAGAATTAATAACCTGTTGTATAGGTTCTAGACTTGCAAATTCTATTATCAAGGCTCTCAGTTTGCCCGACTTAAGTTACCTTCTGGTCTGATTCCACCACTGCCGTTTGAGTGATAACAGAGCAAGGAAATTGTTCCGTTTTCGTCAAAAATAGGGTTAAAGAGATTCTAGAGTTGACGCGAGGTCATTCATGGAGACATGTCCCAGGGAAACTGAATATTGCCGACTTGTTATTGCGCGGATGTTTTGTGAAGCAAATTCTTCGTTCTAGATGGTGGGAAGGCCCCTTGTAGTTGCGAGAAGGCTCTGAAAACTGGCCCACTGGTGAGATTATATGTTTCATGAAGAAGTAGAATTGAACAGGAAAAAGGTAAAAATAGTGAATAATGATCTACCAAAAGACGCACCCCCTTGGCATCGAATCATTGTATCCAATTATGGCAAAATGATTAGAATATTTGCATGGATATTAGATTTGTAAATAATTGTAAAGATGGTTATGAAAAGAATAGAAACATTGAACTTTCACAGCATGAAATTGAAAATTCTGAGAAAATTTTAATTCGTTTGGTTAAAAATTATCTGATTGATAGGAAATCTTATAATTTTATTGAAACGCTCATTGATGATGATGGTATTCTGAGAGTTAAAACGAGAATACTAAATAGAGATGACCATGAGTCTTTTCTGTATCCAATACTGTTATCCAGAAAAATGTGATTTCGCTAAGTTATTAATCAGAAATGTGCACCTAATAAGAACTGTCATGCTGGTCTTCAGATGATGCAATGTATATTACGAGAAAGATTTTGGATAGTCAGAGCTAGAAAGGCCATTAAAAATGTCCTCTTTAACTGTATCGTTTGTAAAAGATTTAAAACTAAGGCTATGTCAAGCGAACCGACACCTCTGCCACCAGACCGAGTTACGGATTGTGCGCCATTTGAAATCATAGGGATTGATTTGGCTGGACCGCTGTTTTTAAAAAATGGAGGAAAGGTGTGGATCGCGCTGTTCACGTGCGCTGTGTACCGTGCCATTCACCTTGAACTCGTAAATTCTCTTTCTACTGATGCTTTTCTTCTGGCGCTTCGACGATTTGTTGCTAGGCGCGGACGCTCCAGAATAATCTATAGTGATAACGGGACAAATTGTCGGGGTGCATCTAATGATTTATCAAAACTAAATTGGGCTACAGTATTAAAGGAAGCGGGAACTGAAAAGATACTCTGGAAGTTTATTCCACCTACTGCTGCTTGGTGGGGCGGCTGGTGGGAGAGGTTGTTTCGTGCAGTAAAAGATTTGCGGAAACGTACTTTAGGTAAATCAGTGTTATCATATGAAGAACTTTATACTATTATTTGTGATTGTGAAACTATAATGAATTGTAGACCCTTAACGTATGTTTCTGAAGATCCGCAGGAATTTGTCCCTCTGACACCCGCCATGTTTCTTATCGAGAAGAGAAATTCCAATGTTGAAGATCTTGATGAATTAAATTCGTCAAGTCTTAATAAGAGATTAAAGTATAGAACAAAATTGTTAAATGATCTGCGACAACGCTTTAGAAAAGAATACCTTAGTCAACTGGTTCAAAAGCATAATGAAAAACGATCTCGGGAACCTGTAGTTGGAGAAATAGTACTGATGGGGGATGATAACAAAAAACGTTTATTTTGGCCCTTAGCCCGAATTACAGAATTGATCCCTGGACGTGATGGAAAGATTCGCACGGTTAAACTTAAGACCCGGCATGGAACAGTTATACGACCAATACACCGCATTGTTCCTCTGGAGATACAGGCCAATGACAGAAACATAATTCCTGATAAGAAACTGGGTGTAGAGGAATATAATTCTAGTGCTGGATGTACGATAAAAGGGGGAATTGCACCTGATAAAATGGCAATGCAACAATATTCCTCCTCTGGACGACTTGTAAAAACTCCAAAAAGACTTGATCTTTTAAATAATGTTTGTTATGAGCTTGAGACTCAACCTGAATCTCAAGGGGGGGGAAAGGATGTTGTGAAATAAACTGAAGTAATAACTGGCGCGAGGCGCTGCTGTTCGTGACGTCAGCCTGCTTGCTGAATATTTCGAATGTTTTGCTTGTAGACAGAACGAAAGCTGATCTCGGTAGCGTAAGACTGTTTTGATGAAAATAAAGAATGGCTTATTTTTTGTCTTTATTCATAATGTACCCAGCCTCGGGTAGAGGCAGCCCGCAATTGAATGAACTGTTTTGAATATATTTGATTTATATATTTTCTGTGTTCTTCGCAACAAAACTATTCCCAACATTTTCCCTTTAATTCCATAGTTTTTCCTGCTTTTACTTTAAACCAAGGCAAGATCCTAGTTTAAAACTTTCCATCCTAAGTTAAAAGGTTTGTAAATTGAATTTAATTGCTCTGCATCTTGTTCCAAGTAAAGCACGAAGAATCTTATGTTTACATGTGAGTTCTTAAATATCTCAATGGATTTTATTCTGAATATAACAATATAACATGATCTATTTAGTTCTCTAAGTCGATCCGAATGTGAAATGTATAATGCAGTGCATCACTTATTTTCTTGCATCTTGAAAACTTGTTTTGCTCTGTAGCACTGTTCGAGGTCTAAATTTTAGGATTTTTGCAAATTCATAGTTTTGACCCTTAAATCTTGGAGCTATAGATTTTAAAGCATATATCTTGGGTTAATTAACTTCAGTTAATTAATATTTGAAAATGTCTCTTCTAACAGAATTTATTAAATCCCTATGGATCTAACTGCTAAATATTGCACTAAAAGCTGGGATAGAAAACATGTTCGGGGACTCTGTCTCGACAGGGAGGCCTTCTGTCTCTCAACTCACTCCCTTCTCCATTGTCATAATTGCAGGTGGCGAAACATATTCTGCTACCAAGACAGTAAACCTGCGTTGTTTAACGCGAAATGGAGCAAAAGCTGCTGTCACTCTGCAAATCCCACTCTGAGGGATTTAGAGTATATATTCATTTATAATAATACCAAAAACATTTTTATATTGTGTTTGTATGTTGATGATTTAGCTGTATTCAGTAATAATAAAGAAATGCTTGAAAATACTGTTTTTAAAATTAAAAATGTATTTGAGTTACATGAAAATACTAATTCAAAATTTATCTGAATGCAAATAGAAAAACTTGAAAATTGTATATGTTTGTCTCTGAACAGAATATATTGAATCTTTATTGACTAAACATAATCTAGAAAATTGTAAAGCAGTAAAAACGCCAATCGTTAAAGAGGCAAATAAAGGTTTTTCGTGTACAAATGAAAAGATTGATACAACATTGTATCAGGAATTAATTGGGAAACTTTTATATTTATTGAATAGAACGCATCCTGATATATCATTTGTAGCAACTTATTTGTCGCAAATTAATCATGTACCAGAAAAAGGGCATTATCTTTTGGCTAAAAGGGTATTAAGGTATTTAAAAGGTACAAAAAATAAAAAAACTTGTCTATAGCAATGGTTTTGCAGCTTTAAATGCATAAGCTGATGCTAGCTGGGGAAATGCAGAAAATGGTAAGTCATTTTCTGGGGGTATTATTTTACTAGGTGATTCACTGATTTCTTGGAAATGTCGTAAACAAAGAACTATTAGACTGTCTACTTGTGAAGCAGAATTATTTTCTATTTCTGAAATTTGTAAGAATATTATATTAACTGTAAATTTATTATCAGAATTAAAATGTAAACAACTTTTGAATGGTGCAGGGGTTTTGAATATAGACAGTCAAGCAGCTATCCAGTGGATCAGCTCTGCCAGATCTTCTACGAAATCCAGACGCATGAATTTACATTTCCATTTTATGAAGAACTTAATAAAGGACAATGTCATTAATTTGGAATATTCACAAATTGATAATATGATTGAAGATTTTCTTACTAAGAGTGCTAGTGAAGAAAAATTAATGTATACATTTATAATGTTGCGTGGCCCCAACTTGTCAGCAACAGTAGTAGTGACTGCTATGAACTGTAAATTACACAAACTCGTAAGAAGGGTTTGAATCCCTTTTTATTCCACTTCAGAAGTCACAGATGCGTTCACTTGACGCTCACAAACTACGCCGACCCGGCGGTGTAACAAAATAGAAAAATACAACTAAAAATAAATGACAGGATGAATAAATAACGAGGTCACTACCTACAAGGCTCTATAATCGTAACTAACTGAACCGCGTTCTAAGATACAGCTGAGCTTCAGAAAACTTACTGATTAAGAAGTTGAAAGATTCAATGAACTGCCGAAATAGGCACACAGGCCGAAACGCGCGGTTCTTAAATTTCTACCTAGCAACCTTCACGCTCGCGATTCAAGAAGCACACTTACAATCTCGTTTCCCTTCTATTTAACTCAATTTACTTCTGCTAAAATATGAATACTCTGCACGTTCTACTACGATTTACATACTCTGGCATTGGCAATTCTAGGGGAAAGTAAAGGCTTGACAGGAAAGATAGCTTAAACTTAAAATAAATGTTAGTTAAAATAAATATAAACCCTACACATTGAAAATAATTTCCTTAATTTCTTAATGTAATGTGTTATGTATTGTTTATATTTCATTTTTGTATTGAAAAAATATTGCTATCAGGAGGGGTGTGTTGGGTAGAGGCGAGCGAACTTTTTTTCTTAAGCGCATGCGTATTAATTATGGTGGCGCAGCTGTCTCCTTTCCCGACACATCAGTCATTCGAGCGTATGGAGATGGTGAGTTAATATATTCTTATTTGCTGTGTGTTCTTTTTATTCATTATTCGTGTAAATAAAGTGTGTTGTCCTAAATCGATGTCTGCTTCTTTCTAAATATGGGCCTCTCAACAACAAAATTAATGAAAAGTTGTTTTTTTTTGGGGGGGGAGCTTCTGAATGGGCGATTTTCTCCGAGCACTGAAAATATTTTCCCAGTCCATTCCAAAAATGAACTCCCTCCAGTACAACTTTTTGAAAGAAGAAACATCTGTTACCCATTGTTATAATATATCAGTTTTTTATGATTTGATGGTAAATTGACACTGTCATCTTAAAAGACTTCAGAAGGCTCTCTCTGAATCTATTTCAACGTTACAACTTAAGTCAATACATAAGAAGTCAATACAGAAATTGGGCACACTTCTCGTACTGAAATAACACTAGGATCATCGTAAGTGGTCTGCAATACTTCTTTCTACATAGCCATACATCCAAAAGTATTCACAATTTCTGCTGGCAATTCCATCTCTACGCAGATTTTTTTTTCATATATTATTGTAAAAATATTCATCATTTCTGGTATTGGATTCAAATTTTTTATAGGTCACATCTTATATACGCAGCTACTGGTCAAACATATTCACAATTTCTGGTTGTCATTGAAAATTTCATGACTCCATTACGAAACGTTAAAACAGATTCCATTGCTGCTGATAGTGAAACTTTTTAAGAATTTTCTGGTCGTCATTCAAATTTTTTATAGGTGACATCCTATACATGGTCAAATATGTTCACAATTTTTGGTTGTCATTGAAATTTCCATGAATCCATTCTATCCAAAGATGTTGCTCGGAACATAAACGGAGTCGAAAAAGAATTCTTTGAAGTGAAACAGATTCCATGACTTATTAACAAGTTTCTGGTCGTCATTGAAATTTTTATAGGTCACATCATTATTATTATAAAGGCACAGCCCCGATCCTCCTAGCCGGCACAAGCAGGCCGTATAATAAAAAAATGGGACTGACCAGAAAAAAAAAAAAGAGAGAAGCTTAAAATCTGAGTCTCAGTGCCGAACTGCAGTTCTATCTTGTTCGTATTTATAATTTTCTTTATTGTCTTTTCAAAATCTTTCAAATTAGAATAGTTCGTTTTAAAATCTTCCTTAAAATTCTTTCTATATTTCTCCCTTGCACTCCGGGTAAGTGTACATTCACATACACGGCTACTGGTCAAACATATTCCGATCGTCATTAAAATTTCCGTGAGTCCATTCTATCCAAATATGCTGCACTGAACATCAACGGTGTCGAAGAGAATTAGTTGAAGTAATAAAATGTAAAATCAGATTCAATTGTTCTAACATTACAATAACACATCGTCATTGAAACATTGTACAGATCAGCCAAAGACAGTTACTCTGACCATCAATGGTGTTGAAAAAGAATTCTTTGAAACAAAGATTTGAAAAGGGAAAAAACAGTTGAAATGTAAAAGATTCCATACCTTTAGTGAAGAATTTCTATTATGGTGAAGCTTTTATACAGATTGGAGGACTGTGTTGTAGTGGAGCCATCTTCTTCAACAGCACGTAGTTATTTGATGCGAAATCTGGAACGATTATATAGATAGAGCTGATCTCATTCTTAAAGAAAAGGTCTGGGAAAAATCTCTCTGAGAATATCTGACTCAGAATTTAAAAAAACTGACTTTTTGATTAATTAATAATGATGTTTTACTTTCTAAAAATATATCAGTGGATATCATTATTAATTAAACAAAAAGATTTTTTTTATTCTGAATCAGCTTATCTCTGAGAGTTTTTTCCAGCCAACGATGAGATATTACCATTTATTTAAGAATGAGATCATCGCTATCTATATAAACATTACGAATTTCACTTCAGATCACTGCGTGCTGTTGAAGGTGCAACACAACATGGTTCTCCAACTTGAATAAAAGCTTACCCATAATGTAAAAGTAATAATTGATCTTCGTAATGGATTTTTCTCCAAGCTCTGAAAATATTTTCCCAACCAACTCTAAAAATGTGCCTTCCTTTACAACTCTGTGTCTTACCCAATGTTATAATAATAAATAGTTTTTTGATGACAAGATTGAAGAGTTTATCAGAAAAGTTGGACATCTCTGAATCCATTTTTTCTAAATGGTTTTCAATAATGAGGGAGATTAATATTGAAAGCACTTCATTGGAATTTCTGATGAATCCACTATAACCACTAATATCCAAAGTTATTTACAATTCTAGCAACTTGTTCAACACCAGATTCCCACGATATACAT